GGGAATACTACATCTGAGAATGTTGCTTTGTGTGGGTTAAGGCGCCGGCTAGGGTTGCTACGAAGGTGACGGCGGCGTGTTAGGTTGGTTCGTTGGGATGCTTGGTTTTGGGTGGAAGGTGAGGCTTATTGGGTATTGGGGTGTGATGTTCTGTGGGGAGGTGGATTATGGAGATACTGCAATATCATGATCAGACGTTTTTCGTTCTGTTCTAGGGTGTGGGGAATGTGTGTTAAGAGTGTCTTTTCTTCATCCACAATAGTATTTGCTAGTTACGTTTACTGAATTAGATATATATTAGCGAGTCCATAGCATCAAGGTTACACCCAGTGCGGAGTAGATGAAGTATTTAGACTATCTGTAAATTATATACTTATATAGTTTGCCAAGGGTAGTGTTTCTGGAGAATATAACAGATCGACGTTATCTACATAGAGCACGAGCAAGATATGCACAGAGGAAGGGTATGAAAGTATAGTTGATGAAGGATTGCCGTAATAGAAATCCACTTTCTTAAGCACATCACTAAAATGTACAGTATTATTGACTAGTCGTATGTAGACTATGATGAAGCAAGTCAGAACAACATCCATCCAACATATACGACGAACTTACCGCCATAACCGAAGAACGCGATCGCCGCCTCCAGTCGCTACAATATTATCCGTGGGGCTCCATGCAATACCGAGGACTAGATGCGAAAACCAGGATATCAGTACATGGGTGACAAACTCATCTCTGATCACATGCGTATACCTGAGTTTTCATGAGCCCCAAGCCGCATCTCAGCAACACCAGTGCTGATGTCCCAGAGATACACAGCCATATCCTTTGAGCCGCTCAGGAGCCATCTGCCTGTGGGATCCGGCGAGACGCTCAAGACCATATCCTGAATGTTGGACCAATTAGTTGTGTCTCACAGTATATATAGAAATAATCTCTTCAATCAAAGTGTAATGCGAACCTGGTGCGCTTTGTATATCAAGGTACAGTCGTTGGGCGTTATGCCTTCGTTGGCAAATGTTTTCAGGGAGCCAATATTCCATAGCTTTGTTGTTCCATCCATTCCACCGGAGATGATATCTCGGCTATCTGGAGTGAATGACAGAGCCATGACATTCTCATCGTGGGCCTGAAACCCTAATACTTTCTCTATTTGCGTCCTATTTGTGCTGGCAGCACCTGAATCGAGCGGCGCAACGCGCCAGACATAGATCATCCCATCGTCGCAACCAGCAGCAATATAACACGAGTCGGGAGACACAGCGACGGTATATACATCATCGGCTGTGTGGAGGGTGCCAAGCTGGCGAATATCAGATGCTGCGTCCAGATCCCAAGCATAGACAGTCTTGTTTCTCTCTGAAAACGCAATCAGATGGCCATTGGCCGAAAGATCTAGAGTGAAGGATCCAGTTGCACTGCCACAAGGGATCCGTCGAAGAAGACCCCCCATGTAGTTCCAAATCTGCGACAGTACGTATATTAGTAGCAGGTATATCCTTGTACGGTGCGAGCAAACCCACGCGGATACCATCGCAATGCGCCGTAAGTAGAAGATAGTTATCCGGCAAAAACTTCACTCTTACGCAGAGACAGTCGTGACTGTGGTCGTCATCTTGTAGACGGGCCACCTGAGCTCCGGTTGAAACTTCGACTATTCGTACGGTGCCATCCGCGCATCCAACAGCAACATATTTTCCATCCCTACTGAACTGGACACAGTTGACAATGCTGTCATGCGTCAGGCTATGGAGCAGGTCTATCTCCCAGTTATTGTCTATGTCCGGGTTAATCACAGCGGACCATCGGTCACCAGCCTTTTTCCGCTCCGGTGGCAGTTCGTCCCAATTGCTCATTACATCGTCAAAGTTGACTCCCAATCCTGGTGGATAGGAGAGGTATGGAACGGGAGATGTCACAGGTGAGCTCCTCGCAGCCGAGGGTAGAGTAGGAATTTTCAAAGACCAGAACATTCTTCTAGCGGATGAAGAAAGTACCAGTCTCTTCATCTAATCATCCATTTGGCAAGTAGCAGATATATGAAGTGCAGAATATTGATACACATCGATGTCCCCAATTGCCGCGGAGAACCGATTAAGTTAGGCAGCACTTTCCACTGAAAATCATTGTGGATATCCACATTTCCAGATTGACACCACCACCTTCTGGAATGCCGGGACTCGCTTAGCATCAGAGTGAGGCTAAGCAGCAAACCTAGTATATGGTTGCCTAAACTGGTGGAAGTTAATTAACCAATAATGCACTTTAATATCGCCGTGAACAGACCCGGGATAACAAGGAAGTTCTTGTAAACAAAACAGAAGCAGCCCACTTCGGCCCACCCTTGGACAAATTTTTCTGATATACAGAGATCTCCCTTCTCATCATCCGTTGAATATTCAGGAAATAGGACCGCAAGTGGAACCCTCCCAGCATGGGAGATTCCAGCTGCCGAGCAAACTCCGGCTTTATACTCCTTTTCCACCACAGCCACGGAACCCGTGGAACCCGTCTAGACTCAAGCTCCAAGCGGCCCATTTTTCCGTCTCCACTGGACGCGAAGGATATTTTTATGCATAACACGGTATATGTCGATGGGGACTTTATGCATAATTCTCCCTGCCAATTGGCGTTTAACTCTATCTTTGCTGACGCCAATTCTGACTCTGAGGGTATTGGAAATCTGCCTAGAAATGAAATCATTCTCTCAACAATATCCTGGAGAAGCAGTCGACTGCATGAGTGCACCCTCGCCAGCCTTATTAAGACACCCAGTCTTCTCCTAGCATTGGTGCGTTGTCTGCTGCTCCGCGTTCTCTCCAGACTGCTTTGATGCAAGCCCTGCACAGTCTCAAATACTTCCATCCAGGTTCGGATGGCAGCGTAATATTCAAGTGACGACCGACAGGATAAGAAGGGCTCTACAGACAAGTATATAGTCTAAGAAAATAGTTCAGCAAGATGCAAAGGAACATTGCCATTGTTTCTATATTGATAAGCCTGTGTGCGATACACGGACGATACCGGTATCAGTGGCGTTATTCTAGTTAGCGTTCCTATCGTGATACACTAATAGAAGATGTATGGAAAAGGTATAGGTTTCGAGAAGTGGTAATCATGTTCATGACAAGTGATTGGCAGACTTGTGTCGTTGCTAGGCATCCTTTTTATTTTAACCTAGAGATTGAAGGGCAGTATTTCCCTACTCCGTTTCTTCGTGATCCTGAAATGGCCAGAATAAATCCACCGACGTGAAATCCTCCTCGTCTTCTGCTTCAGCTAGCCAGTGCTCTTTAAGCTTCTTGTTAGTCTCCATAACTGTTTCGTACGATTCATGTCTGACCCATCCATCCTCTCCTGGTTCATCCAGAAGAGACCGTCAATGCTCGAGCAATATCGTCGCCTTAAACCAGTCCCCTTCAAGACGGTAGAAATCCTCACTTTCCTCTTTACTAAACTTAACTGGGCAACGGGTTTTCTCTATGTCGTTAACTAACTGTTCCCAGTGTTCAGTGAGCCTAATAAGTGCTCCTTTCAGTGTAATCACGTTGCCGCTCCATTGGCGGCCAGCCCGGTCTACTATATGTTGTCGAAGTGGCATAAGAGGGTAGCGAAGTGCTTCGAGGTGGGCTTTGTTATCCCGGCCGTTGAAAACCATATACAGATAAAACAACATTCTTCGGCGATGTAGTTCATCAGCATTGGATTGCTCTTCTGGGCTCAGAGAACTATAATTTTCAGGAAGAGACGGCTTTTCAAGGCCCTTTGGGGGCTCGGAGTCGGGATTCTCGAACAGCGGCGGATTACCCGCGGTGGGTAGTAACGGAAGGATGGAGCTATGTTGTCAATCAACGATACAAGAGACTTCACAAGAGTCCGATACGAATACGTTGGATGGGTTCAGATCTGGGTTGATTAGCATCAATTGCTATGGAGAATTAATGAGTGGTTATTACCTGGATGTCGCAGTATTGGCATATTCATTGGGCTTTCACGGTTTTCAGGAAGAATATACGGCGAGATTGAAATAAACTTCCTCAGAAGATCGAGATATATCTCTGGGGAAATCTCCCCCTTGACTATATTGTTATGAGGGAAATCATTCCGTTGCGGCTTGCCGTATCTGCCGGTCCACTCTAGTTCCCGTTGACCCACGCTACGAACATACTCTCGATGGTCTTTCCCTGTAAACTGTCAAAATTTACTCAAGCACGACGAGGAGTGTGGGACTAACAAGGCCCGCGTTCCAAATCGAGAACAGCATGTTTTCCTCGCCAAAAGCTGTAATCAGCGGAAGGCCCTATACAAAACCGGCCTTCTGGACCTCCACATGATGCTTGATAAAGATCAGCCTAGAGATTTGGAGGTATACTATGTCTATAGTAGAGGCTGCCATAAGATCCAAATGGGATGGAGAAAAGTTTCCGTTCGATATTGACGTAACTGGTTACTAAATGAACCCTTTCCTTTGGAGTCAGATCAAACCAACGACGGTCCAATGGCTGTCCAGAAGCTTTCTCCATGATTATATACTCTGTTCCCACAGCATTGTCGCTGTCCGAAGAGTACGTGTAAACTCGTGGTACAGGCATCCCTTTCGTACGTAAAAAGTCAAGTGTCGCAACCTCACTTTCAGTTGTCAACTGTTTGGGGACTGTGAGCGGATAGGGGATCTTGGCTATCACCTCTAAGCCATCATCCATGGTGAGTAGAAAGACCTTGTTGAAACCACCTTCCGCGAGTTTCCTCATATGGATGACGGCGGTCCTACCAACGCTGCTCGCAGCCACCTTTTCCAGTGCTTTGACATTAAATTCAACATATCGTTCGCTCAAGCGAAGCTTTTCGTTGAATATGTAACGCCCACTAGTATAGGAAAAGAGGTTTTCCCTTGGTTCTGCGGAGTTGATGGATGGAGTTACCATTGTGAACAACTGGCTTGAGGAAATGAAGGGTTGAGCATTGAGGTTCCTTCGAGGAAAAACACCATTCAGTGTCTGTTTGAATCTAGGCGACAAGTTTGGATGGTAAATGAAACGTAAACTCTTTTGAGCGATAGGCCGTAGCATGGCGACCACTTTACGAAGGCATCCATGAAAGTACAAGGGTTGGCTTAAGTGCTCCCTGGTATCTAAGAGCTTATAAGCCACTTGATCAATATACAACTTCTCCGAACCAGGCAATTGATGGGCACGAACAATACTTCAGATGTTAGACTTCTGGTTACTGTTACTATAGTTACATAATATCTACGAAGGTATAACTATTAGATAGTCACTATACTACCGTGGACATTACTTAGTGATCTACGGAGTAGTTAGATAAAAAATTGACTTCCGCAATGTAACTGATAACTATTTCATTTCAGAGCAGAAATGATTGTATCTACTGTTTCGACGAACTTATGAGAGGGGCAAGGGCATGTGATTGAGTGCATCTATTAACATACCATACTATATAGTCTAATTTTAGATGTCCTGTGATGGTTCTACGTAGAGAATCATGGTACACACTGCAATGAGAAGCTTCAGTGAAAACTCTATATTGACAATATCTATATGAAAACTAAACCTGGCCATTGCAGAGTCAATGCGGATATACATGATAGTGCATAACCTCCCCAGTGACCCTGGTCTAGGCGAAGGTAGGCAGGACAGTAATGGTTGTGGTGCTCGTGACCACGACCTGTTTGGTGACTGTCACCACGGTGATGGAGGCTGCATCCGCGGAGGAGATAGTGCCAGCAGCCGCAGCAGAAGTGGAGCTGAGGACGGCCCTGGTGGTGCTACCAGCGGTAGCATGAGTGGGGGCAGCGGTTTCAGCGGGGGTGACGGTGCTGGTGAAGGTCTCGTCACAGCTGGTGGACTCGGCGGCCGCGGAGGAGGCGGCGGGAGCAGTGGACACTCTGGTGACGGCACTGCTGCTGACGGCACTACTGGGGTAGGCAGTCTTCTGGGCGGGAGCGGACACGGACGCGCTGGAAGCAGGGACAGAGTCACCAGCGGCGATGATCTTGGCAGCGGCAGCCTCGGCAGCAATCATGACGATAGCCTGGGTGTTGCCGGTAGGCAGGTCGGGGTGGATACTGGCGTCGACGACGTACTAGTTTACGTTAGTTAAGGTCTAGGGTTGAATATGGGATTGAAAATCTTACCAAGTTCTCGGTACCGTAGACCTTGGCGTTGGTATCGACAACGGAGGTACCGCCGGTACGGCCGTCGTCCGTGCCCATCTTGGTGGTTCCGACGAAGTGGTCACCGCTGGTCTTCTTGGCGATAATGTCGGCGGCAGAGCCGAAGTCGGGGACGGTAAAGCCGGCGCTCGAGTTCTTCATGTCGTTCAGCAGGCCCTGGAGGAACTGGGTGACAGCTTCCTTGTCCGCATCGGTCTGCAACCAGGGGTCAGTCTCCATGACGGTGGCTCCGGAGGATCCAATTCCAAGAACACCAGAGGAGGTTGCACCGTGGGTCAAGTACAGCTTCATGGTGATGACACCATCGCTGGCGACACTGCAGGATCCCTGGTAGAAGCGGGTCTTGCCGTCGCTGCCTTCGTTGGAGGTCCAGAACTGCAGGCGATGACCACCCTCAGACAACACACCGGAGCCTTCAGAGTAGAGCTGTTGGACGGCAGCAGCCGGGCCAGAGAGGACGCTGGAGGTGTTGAATGCAGTGAAGTTGCTCTTGGTGTGGACGTTGATGGTGAACATGGGGTGGTCCTTCAGGTTCTCACCGACGGGCAGGTTGATCCACTCTTCCTGGGCAGGGACGGTAATGCCGGTGGACCCGCTCTTTACATTCTCGATCTGCTTAGCAGGTCCGATACCCGAGTTGAACAAAACACGAGGCGTAGACATGGAACCAGCAGCTAGGATAACCTTGCCACCGGCACGGATGTTGATAATCTCGACGGCACCAGATTCAGTCTCGACCTCGACACCAGTGATGCGACCACCGCGACGTACCAGACGGCGGACCTTGGTCTGGAGGCGGAGGGAGAAATTGTCGAGCTCCTGAGCCAGGGGAAGGTAAGAACGGACGGGGCCAGCACGAATGCCGTTGGCAACGGACCAAGATGGGTAACCGTACGCCTGGTGCTTCTCATTCGGCTGCTCATGTTGGTTGACTGACTTCCAGCCGAGACCTTTGAAGAAGCCTCCAAGGACATTGTACATGCCATAGTCATAACGCTTGCCATCAGCGGATGGGAGGATGCTACCAGGGTTACGCTCATACAAACGGGAAGCGGCGTCCTTGACATCATCCCACTTCCAGCCGGCAGGCCACTTGTCGTTGAAATCGGCCTCCTGGGGGTGGATGAACGCAAGAGCATTGACAATAGTGCCACCACCGAGGACACAGCCCGCCATACCAGCAGTATCATCGCAGAGATAGTCATCGAGGAGACCAAGCTTGGAAAGGGAGCTACCGAGGGCGGGAACATCGTGGGGAGTGAGGGAGTTGTTCCACGAAAGAGCGTTCTTATTACCCATCTGCACGGTAGGAGCAACACCACGTTCAATCAGCAAGACCTTCTTCTTGGTCTCGGCCAGCCGTTCGGCGGTGATGATACCAGCCGGACCACCTCCCACAACAATGTAATCATAAGTCGAGTTCAGGACGGTGGGGGCAACGCTAGCCGAGGGAGTACTGCTAGGGCTAGCAGAGGCGGACGCGGAGGGGGTGGTGGTGGATGACGCCTTGGCCTTAGAGGCCCAGGTAGAGTACTTGGCGGACTTGGCATCAGAGAGGACCATTTGGAAGCTACCAAATCCGGCAGCGTGGTAGTTCAAAGTGGCATCGGAAGAAGCGGGGGACTTGGGGCTGGTCTTGCTGAGAGCCCAACCAAAGAAGTAGCTGTCCATATCCTTACCGAAGGTGGTGGGCGTTCCAACGACACAGCCACGGCATAAGAAGGTATAGGTAAGGTGAGTGCTGTTGATGGAAGTTCCATCGGGGATCTCGTTGAGACTGGCGTCTCCACTGTAGACGTCGGGGTTGGTGTAGGACTGTGCTTCACGCAGACTGGAGACGACGGAATCGCCGTTGGGCCAGGCTCCAATCAAAAGGGCCTTGGTCATCGAGCTTGAAAGACTGACACCACCCCATCCGTTGGATGATGAAAGAGGCACGACCAGCTGACCGATGAAGTCGGAATCAACTGTTTCAGGGAGGGCCAAGCCGAAACAAAAGCCGGTCTTTTCATCGCACCATCTCTGGAAGTCGATACCGGTTGTCGAATCACTGTATGCGGAAGAGTTGTAGTTCATGGCCGCAGCGCCGAGCGCCGAGCTCAAGGCCACAAGGCCTCCGAAGAGCGAGGAGCGCATTGTCTTCTAATTTACCAGAAATACAGAAAGAAATGAAAAGTAGGTCACGAATATGAAAGAATGATAGTATAACGACAGTAATGAAGGGAACGGGACAAGCTGGCCCAGCAGCAACCCAGAAAGAAAAAAAAGAATGACGGCGGTATGGCCGAAAAGAATGAAAGGAAAGAAAGCGATAATCGAGGAAGAAAAGCAAGCTGAGTAGCCACCGGGGCAGTTACCGTCATTCATATAAAATCGAGGTCGCCCACTGATCCCATGGCACGGCCCCAATCATGCCAGGCAACCCAGAAAAGCTACGATATTGAAGGACGGCTGGGAGAAAGAAACTAATGCGCTGGGCAAATTGAAATTGTGGGAACTGTCTGAGCCAAACCACGCGTGAAGTATCCATGTACATGGAATCCATGCCTGTTTCTTCCATATCGAAGAAGTACCGTTGGCCCATTGCAAGTTAAGCAATTTGGTGCGGGACCACAAGTGGCCCAAGTTTAACGGTGTGGACATGCCAAGCAGAGCTAATGAGGACATCGGTTTCACCGATAGACAGCGGCCGTTTGAGTTGTATTATGCCCTATGGCGCTTTAATCGCCCAGCCCATCTAGACGAAACACCATCCTCAATAGTTCTTACTGCTGTGGATTGATCACTAAACCACCCAACTTCATTGGTCTCCGTATCCCGGGACTGTAAACCGGACCAAGTGAAAAGAGATTGCCCCAGGGGACAATCTCCCGGAATTTTACCGAATTCTTATGCTGCTGGCAACCCTTGGAAGGGTAAATTGCGTCCTGACAGGGCTATTCCTGTAAATTGGGGGCGGAGAGAGAGGTATTCTTGAGACCTTGATCTATGTGAACTAATCACGCAGGTGAGAGCTGATCGCACCAGGTTGATCGAAGCAGTTCGGTAAAGTGAGGTCACCAAGATGCCGAGACTGGCAGATATAGACAAGCCATGCCGGTAATCGAGCATCGTGAGGATTCCATAGCCGATGAGTTGCTCCGAACGGAGTAAACAGATCGATCTGTGACTGCGAGAGTATCAGGAGAATGAGAGGATTCAAAGTGAGGCGTACTCGGTCCGCTCCGAGTGGGGCGCATGATTCAGGCACTGTTTTTAGGGTCTAGGGCAAGGGTTCGGCGAGTCAGCTCCGAGGCAGTGAATTCTCTGAATAAGGTCTCGAGAAGAAAAATAATGGGAATTTCAAGTATGTGGTATAGGTACATAGGTTATATTGGTAATTACAAAAGTATTCGGGGTTCTACACAATAGAACACTTACATTGGTTTGTATGTGTACCATTGCTCATACTTTCAGATGGAGAGTAGCGGATAAATATATACAAGAACTACCCTTTTCAAATAGCCTATTTTCCAAATTTTAGCACCAAGTTGAATACCATTAAAGTTGATATCCGAAAGTAATTAGCGGAGAATGGTGGAGTGTATGTTATCTTGACTCGGTGTATATAGATAAGCATACCAAAGACTAGCAACAGCTATTAGGTAGCAATACGACGCAGGTATAGGTCTGGTCCTATTGTAAAACGCTAGATCCGGTGTGAACAGTCGTGTTTCAAATACACTTCCATGTATAAATTGCGACGGAATGAGTACAGTCCCGAAGATTGAGACTCTCTTTAGTTTCACATATGGATTACTACACTGACGACTTCAAGCATGGCACATCATTCCATGGACGCTACGCCGATTTCCTACACTTATTTCCTGGGACTCGCCAAGCCACGAAGGAATATTATCTACACACGAAGATATTTCAGATCATGCATTTCGTAGTGATCAAGAAGAAAATTGTCGACCAGTATCCCTTCGTCGTGACACCTATGCTCAATGCTCTGAACGATTCCAAAGACATGGCTTTGCGCCGCATGCAGTCTGCGGGAACACATCGATATATGTTGCCATTCTTGCCCTCACAGCTGGAGGAAATCGATGATATCTTCGGTGGTGATCCATGGCCATATGGCCTTGAGGTGAATCGGAAACCGTTGGAAGCTTTAGTAACTTACCTTGAAGATCAAACTGTGATTTCCCACAAGGTTCCGCTAGAACAATTATTCGCACTTATCTATGGGAAGAACCTCAAGAGGTAATCACTGGGCACAGTGTGTTATTGGGTAGTATTTTCGGGACTAGTGGTCTTCGTTGCTGTATATAGATTGTAGAACATCATGAGTCGTATTCGCAGCTTACATTTTCTCTCTCCATTTATCCTATCAGGCTCCGGGGTTGGGGCGCAAAGACCACTAGGAACCGAATACTCCGTACATAGGCATGAAGGACTGCAAGCTCTACGCTATATGATCATCCCCGGCGTCTTTGTCCTTTCCTTGCATATATCATAGTCATATTAAATAGCCAACATCGTCCCGTGTGGTTTACCGGTAGCTCTACAAACCAGACGCTATATCTCGTGCTTTATGTCGAAGTCAGGATAGATCACGACTTGAAAGGGAATTGAATCGTTCAATTAATGCTTCTATACTGACACATGGAAACTGGCTAATTGTGTGCCAACAAACTGTACAAAGTCACAATCCTTCTGCCGGCGTCCCCTTCCAAGTTAACGCCAAAGACAGTTTTCGTCAATTTGGATATACACCTTTAAATAATCCATCTGGATACCGACAGAAACAAATGATATCGAAGAAAATCATGAAACAAAAACCACCAAAGCTCACAAGTCACGAGCTCAAGTTTTAAACAAGAACAATGCCAGCACCCACGAAGGTGGACATGACCGTGACCATGCCAACAACAAGAGGAGCCAGGGACATGTTGGGGATGTTCAGGACACCAGCAGCCGAGGAAGAGGAAGAGGTTCCGGAGGAGCTACCGGAGCTGCCAGTGGCAGAACCGGAGCCGGGCTCGGCAGTGCCGGTCGAGGTGCTACCACCACCGCTCATGCTACCCTTGCCAGCGAAACCCTCACCCTTGCCAGCACCGTCCTTCATGAACTTCTTAGCACCCTCGGGGATGGCAGGCAGATCATCGCTGTCAACGTCCCAGTTGGGGGAATCCTTGGCGGGGCAAGGGTTGGCACCACCGGTCTTGTTGTAGCCACCGTCGCCCTTGGGGTTGCTGGTCTTCTCGAAGGCGGACTTCAGAGCATCGTAGTCAGCCAGAGTCTTAACCTTGTTGTCGTTGATCTCAACAAGACCGTATTTGCTGGGCTCCTGGGAGTACTCGTAGACCAGGCCACCAGAGTAGACGCCGGTCATGTCGGTGCTGTACAGAGAGCTGACTTCCTGGAACTGACGCTTGTTGGTGTTGCAGCCGTACTCCGAAAGGAACAGAGGAAGACCGTAACCAGTGAAGTTCTCCACCTTCTTGTCCCAACCGGAAGTGGTGAAAGAGGAAGGATCACACCAGGAGTAGTCGTTGAAAGCGAAGAAGTCACTGCGCTCGTCATCGGTACCGCAGTTCATGAACTGGGCCATCTGGAGACGGTTGGTGTCGATGTCGGCCTGATCACATTGCGCATCAATACCCGACTTCTCATACACCAACGGAGGGGGTCAACTTACAGCAGAGTATCCAACAGGAATTTCACGGTAGTTGCGGCTGCGAATGTACTGACGGAGGTCACGAGTGACCGCCTTAACGTAGGGGGCAGCCTTGGAGGAGGGGCCGTCATTGATGACCTCGTTACCGGAGAAGAAAGCCAGAGTGTTCTTGTAGCCGGCGAAGGCATCGACAGTAGCGAAGATGTACTGCAGATAGTTTTCATTGTAGGAGATCTTGGGGCTGGCACGGTTGAGAGAGTACTTGGGAGTGTTGACATCGAGCACCAGGTAGATGCCAGCATCCGCCAAGGCGTTCATACATTCGTCATGGTTCTTGGAGTTATCCACGGAGTAGACACGGATGGTGTTCAGACCGAGATCCTTGAACTTCTCGATGTCACGCTTGCAGCCGTCGACATCGGCGATGGGGTCGGCCAGGTTAGAGGAACCACCGGGCTGGTAGTCGACACCACGCATATAGAAACGCTCGTCGCCCTTGAAGAAGGCATTTCCCTTCACGGTGACAGCGGTCACATCATCACGCGCCTTGATGGACGGAGCGGCGAGGACGGCGGAGGCACCCAAGGTGAGGGTTGTCGCAATGGCGGAACCCTTCATGATGAAAATGAGACTGATTGATCTATCAAACGACTGGAGTTGATCGTGACGGCCCGAAAAGAATGGCGAGATCCGTCTGAGGTATGTTTAATATAGGACCGAGATGACGCTCTTGCGGTCTAATGATTACAGAAAATAAGAATTGAAGAAGAAATGAAGTGGACGTGGGACGTCTGAACGAATGACTGGGGTGGTTGGGAAGAAGTACGAAAGAAAGAGGAAGGGATGCAGAAGCAGTCAGGAAGGGGGTGGTTGTGGCACGCCTTAAAGCCAACCAGCGTCGCAGGGTCTGCATCCCTGATTTTCGAGACAGCATTGGGGCAGCTGCCTGCATGGGGTATCACCAATTACCCGTATTTGGCTGCAGAGAAGGCCGCGTGGGACAAGAATAGCAATGGCAACGGTAAGTTACATACAGCTGTATACAACCCAAGCTGGATCAAGCGCCGCTAACGGCAGAAGCATTCGTCATCCACCCTGAAACCCTGGAGATTAATGCGCAGAGAGATCGCTGACTGGTCCAGAGAATGGAGGGGATCGGCCCAGGAACAAAGGAGGGTGTGTGTCGCTAACCTTGAAATTGCCCCAAATTACCCCCTCATCGGTGGCTCTGAATGGCCATCCCTCTTCCACTCACGCTGAGGGACTTGGCCCAATTCAATCAATCATTAACGGCGAAGTGGACACACCGTGAAGGAAGTGAAGGAAGAATGAAAGATGGCTTGCCGTGGTGGGGAATGTTTGGTTTGGCCGGTGGGCCTGGACCCGTCGAATCCCTGAGACCCTGACCTCTTGGTTGGCCGATCCCTGTTCCAACCCTGATCCCAGAGTACACAACAAACTGCATTGTGATCCATGATTTGTTTCCAGCGCTACACAAGGAAATTCAATAGTTACACTAATTCACTTTTTTTCATTTTCAGTTCTTTTTGTTCTGAAAAAGAATCAGTCGCCAAATTCCTACAATTTTCGGTCTTCTGCCTCTTACTAAACTCTACCGCACGGGATGAGCGAGTCAATTCTCAAGTCTCAATAGGATAGACATTATCACCTTCCGTCCCAGGTGTGCGACCTTGAAGATCCCTTCAATCGACCCGACGATTGTCACACCATGCTGACATGAACGGGGGAAGATAGGGGCTGGTCCCCTCTCCTCATACCCTTGGACGTTATATTATATCCCATGTTGAATCAACCCATCCGTCATCGCATTCCAACCTGCCACTCCCCTCAATGACAGACTATGGATGGCTTTGTCATGGCATATTTTGTGGCGTCAGATTACCGCACTTTCCCCTCCGACTATTATTAGTCGACAGCACATTGAGTTTGAGTTTGCGTCTGGTTTCAACTGAGACATGCCAGCACATTGTACAGTGGACAGGCAGAAGAATTATCTGTAACCAGGCGATAATCATAAATACTTTAGCAATCAAGCAATACAAGCCTGTCTACTCCGTAAACGAGCGCAAATTGCTTGATCAAAAGCAATGACCATGGTCCTAGTGAATCGCCCACCGCATCTATCCAATAGATTGGTTGTTTCTGACCTCGCCAAAAATAGGTCCCGCCCATGGTCGATGGCCAGGGGACCGCCCGCTGTGGCGAATCCGGTTCCGTCGGCGTTTCTCGAGCCACTTTCCTCAATCACCAATGCGGAACTTTACCCGACAATTGAAGTCCCCAGGCACCACAAAACCGTCCCAGAGTTCCGGAGCATCAGGTATGTTTCACATTGCTCAATTTTTTCAGATTTCACATTGTGATGAAGTAATGGGAACAAACAATACAAGTTTGGAAAGTACAGCGTACGAAGCATACATGTTTCCGCAACAAGAAGATAAGCTGTTTGGCCCCCATGGAACCAATATATATAATATAAACCAAGCCCCTGTCCTTACACTAAACAGCTAGACTATCAAAACAAGCCTTGACTAGATACACAACCAGAGAGAAACAAGAAACAAGACTCTCCATCACATCGATGATCACAATAAATCCATTCCTCGTAGACAAGATTGAGGGAAAGTGGTCATCCTGAATAATCTATCGTTTCCAACAAGAAACAAAACTTCGTGACCCTACCCTGGATCCAGAATCGTGGCTTGGAAATTTGCGCGACCGGAAGCGGAGTTCTAGATCCGTAGTGGGCGCTGGTCTGGACTTTGGCTCGGTGTGAGAATTATCGGCTGGGATTTTATTGAGCGAAGCAGGGATCATTAGGGTTTTGTTCTGAAGAGTTTTTATAATATTAATGCAAAATAAAGAGATATTTTCAACAACATCCGATATGGTGTAACGGCTAACATCGCCGCCTTTCATAAAATGAAAGCAAGTTCCGCGGCAGCTCGGGGTTCGATTCCCCGTATCGGAGTCAATTTCTTTTTTCCCGAGTATTATTTTGCAATCCTTTTGTTATCCATACTATTATTTATATTCATTCCTCTTTTTACTTTAACACTCAATAATCTAACACTACTTCCAGGCCTTCTCCCCAACAGCAGAGAAGACCCATTCTTATAACTCGATTCAGATACGCGACAGGACCTCTATATATGCTGAGAACCAGCTCCAGTCTCCGCCCGGATGACCTTTTTCGTCATGATTTCTATTATACTACTTTTTTCTATACAATGTTCTTTCAGAATCCAAATGCGTAAGCGTTTGCAATATTTATATTATTTATTTTCAGTCTTCATTTTCTCTACTACTTTCTATATATGCTCTATCTATCCCCAACCGTATTCCTGTCGAAACCCTTCGTTCTCCAGATTGCGCTAAATAGATCATTCTCGACGTACCAAAAGACACGAACAAATCTGCATATCAAGCTTAACGGCCACCAACATGCTAGTGCTATATCCTCCTCACACAGAGATTTTATTAATACCATCATCACTTCCTTGATACAAATATGGTTCACCTCGATCATCCAAGATATACATACCCCCCACAAACAGTCGAAATGTACAAATATATATGTAATCAAACCACACAACCCACACATGTACATGATACAACCCCCAACCTTCCCCCCATCTCAATCACTGACAATGAATGCATAAATGAATTAATCAATCCTTCTTCTTCTCCAACCGATCCGTGCCATGCACCCAATCCAACAACCCCAAACTCCCGTAATTCAAGTTAAACTTCTCATGATGCAAATCGTGCATTCTCGCCTTGCCGTGGAAGAAATCAAACCCGCTATGCACCGTGGCGGTCACAAACAACTCATACGCCAAGAACACCCAGAAGGTCAACACATGACTGCGCAACAGCTGCGGCGGCAGGGAGATGGGCAGGGCGTTGGCGAAGATCTGTTCGAGGGGGTGAGCGAACTGGGCGGCGAGGGCGATGGGGGCGGTGAACTTGTGGTGCTGTTTGTGGATGCGGACGTAGAAGAAGGGCCGGTGGAGGAAGCGGTGGGCGTAGTAGAAGAGGGCTTCGCGGGCGAGGAGGCTGAGGATGAAGTCGCGGGCCAGAATGGGGAGGGAGGGGAAGGTGGGCGTGATGGTGTAGGAGGAGCCTTTGCTGAGCTTGAGTTGGACGAGGAGAAGGGTTGTGGTTAGGAGTTGGTTGCGGAGGACGATCTTGAAGCAGTAGAGGATGTCTTTCTTCGTGGGTTGTTTTGGGGCCGGTTGGATCTTGTGGCGTTCTGACCAGTTGGGGAAGAGAGTGGGCAGGGCCAGGTAGACTAGGGAGGGGAGCCAGAAGGTGAGGATTTGGATGAGCAGCGTCCCCGTGAATTCTATCGTTGAGGGCTTGTAGGTTGCCACGATAGTGGCCCAGAGGAGTTCTAGGTTTGGCATGGTGGGTTGGGCCGTTTTGTGATAGATCGAATTAGGCGGATAGTAGAGGGTGGTTTTTTGGTATATAGCATGGTTCTTGGGCTTTATAAAAGTGGCATTGGTGGTTATGTAACATCATATGTTTGAGGTGGAGTTGGTATGGGGAACCTCGGCATTTATACGGTTCGTGTAAGTATATGTCCTGTCACCCCGCAAGAGCCAAGCAGCTGACGGGGTGTCACGGGCTAGGTCGAACCACTCCCTCGATACTTTGACTAATGGATACGTTAACGCTGGCCCAAGCGTCTCGCTAATAAAGCCATTATGGGCTTCCACGTTTTCTGGTCACAATTAGAGTTTCAGAGAACTATAGAAAATGGAAGACGCAATGGCATTCCTGGCCAATCGATCAAGATATACTATGTACCTGGGTTGTCACTAGTTTCTATCATCCAACAGCTTCAGAATTTCGCTAAGTCGGACACAAGGAGTCGTATCTATTCGAGAGGATTCGATTGGTGACTTTATGGAACTGAAATGCACAAGAGTTGTGGGTAGACACCTAGCTAGTATTTATATCGAGGAAATGGACACGGGAAGGTTCAGAACTCTCCCTGTTCAATTGACCATCTTCCACCGCTCAAAGGAACTGATGAAATAGCCGGTAAAGAAGTGTAGGCCGCCACATCAAACTTAGAGAAGAAGTGGTTGAGCAATACAACACGTCGATGGTGAAAGAATATCGAAAGGAAGGGTCATATGATTTACTTGTACTACTACTCTAAGTAGCTTAGGAAGAATCATCTTTTGACATCATCACACTACAAGAAGGCATGCACCTAGAAAATCAAGAATATAAGCCCATGTGAATCAAAAACACCGACCTAGACACCACAATCGACGTACAAGAATGCTCAATCGATCTTTCTTCAACCAGAAATGGATTATCGCCGTTAACCGTCGCATCAATCAACGCAGATCATACAACAGCCTCCTAATGGCTGTACTCTGCATGCTGGAATGGATATCCGTAATTAGTAAACACGTCGCATTTATCAGATTTGACCGGATTCTGAATCTGACTCGGCGGCATTCCGAGTAAGAACAAGCTTTCATCGTCAGTCTGATACTCGGGGATATGATATCCAGAGAGGCCAAAGATATCCAGAGTCGAAGAGTAGGCTGGGCCGCGGATTTTGAGAAGCTCGGGATCGGGGTTCGGGTTATGGGTACGGAAGAACGAGCTGAAGATATCATTGAGCATCTGGGAGTGACTGATGTCTCTAGGGCCATAATAGGGGTCAACATTCTGGGTCTTCGCGTTCAAGGTACCCCAGATAGGTAGGACATCAGCCGTATGACATGTCGCGTTATAGTTGTCATTGGGGGAGCAGACTTTCGGGACATCAGCAGTAGTTTGAACGTGTCCGTGCTGAATCTGAACGGTATAGAGATGGGGAAGTACGGTTCGGGCACCGTGGTGAAGCAGATAGGCCTGAGGACAGAACCATTTTGAGTGGGTAAGAGCGTCGGCACCCGTATTCCGGAGGCTGTCTGGGTCCCGGTAATTGATAGGGAAAGCGCCTGACTTAATAAGAGATGTTGCAAGACTGGATGGATAAACAGCGCTGAAGAATATATCAAGGCCAATATTGGTACTACCGATCAAAGGAATGTGAGGAACATAGCGATCTACGTAGAGGGCGGCTTCATCGGTCACTGTGGTGAACATAATAGGGACAGCGTTGGGGAGACGATTGGTCGCTAGTAAGGTATGGAATTGGTCATCGATAATGCCCGAACCGCGGTCATCAACAATGGGCATGAATGGCGAGGAAGAAACCTGGAGCTTCTTGGTGTGTAGATAACCATTCCCTACTGCGCCTGCAATCTCGTCCAACGCATGCGCAAGTTCGGTTGAATTATCGAGATACTTGGCTGCAGGGATAGAGCGAAGGCAGGACAGCATGACAGGCTCATCAGCATCATCACACCCGACAGCCTTCGCAATCCTTGGGGTGATGATCTCTGTATAAACCTTTCTTGAATACCAGGGTACGTCCAGGGCAGCTGACTGCACAACTGCAGCGGAGAAGAGGCCACTGGCAGCACTTGAAGACAGCATCGCAATTACACTTTGGCCACCAGCAGACTGGCCAAATATAGTAACCCGTGAAGGATCCCCGCCAAATGTTGTTATATACTGCTGAACCCATTTTAGAGCCAAAATCTGGTCCCGAGTACCGTAGCTTCCAGCAGTGAGGTTCTCTGTTGTAAGCCAGCCCAGGGCTCCGACGCGGTAATTGACAGTAACAACCACAATATCATTACGACTAGCGAAGCTACCACCGTCATAGTCAATCATAGCCGTACTACCTTTAGTGAATCCACCGCCGTAGAAGTAAACCGCAACAGGTCTGTGTGCAACATTCTTATCAGGCTGGGATGGTAGCACGGGGGTATAGACGTTCAGGTAAAGGCAATCCTCTGAGATCAGACTGCTTTCAAGCGTTCCAAAACCTGACTGGGATTGAATACAGGAGGCGGGTAGTTTCGTTGCGTCGATCTCCTTCTGTCCAGTATATGGCTGTGGAGGTGCGAACCGCAACTCATTGACTGGGGGATCGGCAAAAGGTATTCCCAAGAACCTAAAGGATCGAGCGTCACGATAACCAGTTATGGTATAGCCATCGACCGACATAGAAATCCGAGAAGACTTCACAGGTTCCCTGTGCTTGTCATCAGTTGGGGGAACACTGGAGGTACACAGTGTCGGGAGCTTTGCATCACAAGGCAGCGGGATGGCAGCCTTATGTTCTTGAGAATATGCCATGCAGGATTGGCCAGATGTACCCGAGGAGCCTATCCAAAGTGCAGAGCCTGGCTGCAGATCCTGAATATGGACGAGATAGTCAAGTTCGTAGCCCAATTCGGTGCGATTGAGCTCCGTTGTATCCTGGAAAGGATAGAGACTTTCTCCAATGGCACCGCATTTCACGCGCGCCTCTGCACTGCTCAGAGGCTCATAGGCCAACAATGCCGCTGTTCCATTGTTCCAGGGGTCCAGGTAATTGTACTTTAAGGCCTGTAATGTGCCTAGTGAGTTGATTGTGGGAGGAGCTTTAGGAGCTTCGCTACGCGCAATAGCAAACAAACAAAACAACAAAGGAATAATAAGAGGCAGAAAGTACATCATCAGGGACAGTTGAAGATAATACGTCGATAAAGTCAATGAGAATCTATTAAGAGACTCAATGGTCTGCACTATTAGTGGTGAGCTCTAGGGGTTAGGGTAATCGCTTGGCACCCCTCGGCTCGAAGAGCTTGGCGATCATATTTGCTTAAAAATGCTAAGTATTTGATATTTTATGGGGTCCTTTGTTGCTATTCCAGGCTATTATCATCAGTATTGCCCTTGAACCCTTCCCGACAAAGGCCCCTAGAGCACAAGTGGTAGGGTTATTATACACCGCACGCACCCGAAGGCCTGTCTCCGTTACGAATGTATACTAGAATTTTTATACACAAGAGTCTCAAGTCACACGGCAGATAGTTAAGCTATGCTAGGACATAGGCAAAAAGAACACCCAGCAGCTCAAAACAATACACCGCAGCGGCATATAGTTAGCGGCATACACCTTTCACCGAAACAATAGTATCTTGAACCCCGAAAATACAATCTAGGATTGACCAATTTTCATTAATCGCATTGGTTCAGAGACAACAAAAGAGGCAACTGATCAGGGCCGTCTAGTGAAAGAATATGACATCTCATCCGCTAGACAGTCGATTCTCTTCTCCTTTGGTAAATTATCGCAGGTGTCATATCTACACATGCGCCGGAGGGGGACTGCCACCGGGCCATGTTGAGATTTTCTTCTGGGTTTGATGACTTATCTCCTTTAGCTGAGGTGGGGGTGATGAGGCTTGCAGGAGAAAGCAAAAAGTTGGCCAGCAAGAATTCGGGCAGAAGAATCTGAGTTGTCATGTTAGAATCTTAATGCATATCTATGCATTGCTCGGTGGAGCCGCATTCGGACCCGAGATCGGCCGTGGGCCAATTGCGGCACGAGCCCCTAGTCTAAGACTCTGACCAAGGGAAAATGTACATACCTGCATTAGGTTTCGTAGATCGAGCAATCAGAAGACATAGGGTTTACTGAAAATGCAAAACACACACCTTAAACTTGTAAGGAAGGCACCTAATCTAGGGCTTAGGCGATATAACGCATTTTACCAGAAGACCAACATTACCCGCGAGTTACCTCTCGTGGGCCCGAGAGCTACTACGTAGCACACTGAATAGTCTAGGATCTGCGTGCCTTACATAGTATCATATGCTTGCATCCATCTAGAGAGAAACTTTACCGAGGCATGGGAGTATTCCTCTACCCTACGGGACCACCTTTTCTCTCACTGCGATATGTGAATTTCTCTACTCGTGGCGATTTACTAAACAATTAATATGGTCAATTGATAGGGAGAGTACTGGGAAGTAGGGCTTTTTCTCTCACTGGCACTGTAAGAAATTCATATTCGAGCATACATTCAGCGAATATAGTGTAACGTAAAACAAACATGAAAGATATATTTACCCTGTTGGTCACATTCCTTAGGCGAAGTCCACCTCTCTTACCAGCACAAGAATAGGCAGCGCCGCAAGAGTGCTGAGTACCGAAAATACTGCGTCTCAATGTCAATATCGCCCACCACTCAAGCTTAATGATGACACTTACGCGCAGCAAACTGAAACCCATACAAGTAGCTTTCACGGACAAGATGCTGCATGGGGGCTGGCAATGTACGGGCGAAATTGTCATCGTTAAGGATATTCCGGACTACCTAGTAACTATTTAGAGTTCTGACATAGCTCAGAATTGAAGGAAACGTACCTCTGAGGTATTGGGTAGAGTCTGCAACTTCCAGTTCAATCTTGCCTTGAAATGTCCTTGGATCAAAGCGAAGCCTATGGCAGGGCCGAGAATTCTACCCAGTTGTTGGAATAAGTAGTACGTGCCTGT